TATATATATATATATATATATATATATATATATATATATATAGCAGAATTCATAGAGATTAGTCCGAACTCAAGTTGATGACGACGGCGTTCAGATGGTGTAGGTTCAGGGCAGCTGACTCAGGACCCAAAGGTCCTGGGTTTGATCCCCGGTCATTGCACATCTCGTGATGTCTCTGAGCAGGAGATCCAAATCCCGAATTGCTCCCCAGGCATCTACATAGCTGCTCACTGCTCTGTCTGGGTGTATCCCAGGGGTGATGGGTTAAATGCAGAGAGCCAATTTCATCTTTGTATGGGAACATACAATGATGACAACACATAGCACTTTATTATTATAACCACATATTCGGCTTCTGTATTAAGTTCGTTTTTAGTTTAAGAAACTGTCAAGTATATCTTTTAATGCACTACTAATTTTTCGGTGTATACTTTTCACTTGTCGCTTGTGAACAAGTTAAGTTTAGATTTGTGAAAATTTACAAATTTGCACTGTTCGGGTGTTGTCATTGTGTTAGAGAGTAAATATCATGAATAAATTTGACATTAAAAATAATCCAAGTTGAAGTGTTACATCATTTTCAGCCTCCTTTTTCAGCATCTGCATTTGGTAGCAGGCCTAACTGACAAAGACCATGCAGAATAATGTAGTATTTTAATTCCACAGCAGAGAAGGCTATATAGTCTCTGCAGGTCTGGGGGGGGGGAAATATCGATATTGATAATGGTATCAGTTATCAGCCAAATAAGTTTTAACATAATGGCATATCGGATATTGGACAAAAATCCAATATTGTGCATTCCTGTTCTAAGGTCACAAGACAAGTTTATTTTTTTATATATATTTTGTAGCTATTATCCCAAAGTGTTGAGCTAACTCACATGTACCAGACAAAAGGCCGTTACATTTTATCTTGCCCCCAAAGCGTAACATTTGAATTTTATTAGATCTGGCGCCTCCAGTTTGACAGATTTTTATCGGTTTTACAAATTGCTTAAATAGATGAGCTTATTTAGTGATGTCTTCCAGTGACAGTAACTTTGAAGCTCAGAAAATTAAGATTTAATTTCTTAGTAATCTTTGATCTTGACTTTAAAAGGGCAACTGAGAACATCAAATGGGACAAATCAAACTCTTGCTGATAAATTTGCAGCCAGTTAAAAGTTATGGGTGTCTGATGAGTTCATGTGCATGTTGTAAGAACGGTGTCTGCTCTGATGTATGTTGTTTTCTGCCTTTTCCTCTTGTTTCAAAGTTAAATGTTAGTATGTTATGATTTTTGTTCATTTTTATTTTGTTGTAACGGATCGTGGAGAAATGTATAAATGTATTACTAAAAAAAACATTTAAAAGCTTATTATAGAGCATAAGGCAAAACAAATGAAAGCTAATGGTGCATCTTTTAGGTTTGATCTGTGTTTCTTTGTAAATTAAAGTGTGTTTATTCTAAATTCTATATATTATGTCACTAGCAAAAGATAAATTGTGTTTCTATATGAACGATTTGATAGATTATGTCTAAAATCAAGGTTACTTTAAGTGTCTTTTCTACAAATACTGATTTAGATTGGCCCTTGGCGAACACCAAGTATTTAATTTTGGTCTCTTTTGCTGTCTAGTTCGACAGACTTCAGCTAACAATTTCTGACTCTTCAAGCAAACTCTTTGGTGCCAAATATGGTCAAATGACTAACAAATACAGTTAGAAACTTTTTAGTTGTTGCGCTTAATAAAACATAGGTGAAGTGAAGCGTAACGTTAACGTTAGTCCTTTGATATATCAGGGTGGTTGTGCAGAAGTTAGTGCAGCACAAAGAAAAGTACCAATCTGCTCAAAATCTAAAAAAACACTTTTATTATTCATGATGTGTTATACATGAATGCTTTTCATTAAAAAGTGCTAGAACACAGTGCAGTAAAAGTCTTTATATTCGAATGTGTCTCTTTACAAAAGGAATAAAGATGTTTATAGCGCGGCCTTTAAACATCTATTTAAGTAATTTTTCACTCATAAGAACCACAGAGATTTTTTTATATAACTCAGGTAATATCTGAGTCCTACTAAGTCCTAAAAGTTTTCCTTATTATAAAATTACAAAAATAGATCTGTTTTTAAAGACTTGTGGATACAGTAGTCCCTCGTTTATCACGGGGGATCTGTACCCTGAAGCCCAGCGATAAGTGAAAAACCGCGACATAGGAATAGTAGTAGTTTATTTTAGTATTTATATATATATATATATATATATATATATATATATACACTGTATAATAGTAGTAGTTTATTTTAGTATTCATATATATATATATATATATACTGTATATATATGTGTGTGTGTTTAGACATTTTAAACCCTTTCCACACTCTTGCAACATTATGAACAATGTTTCTAAACTCTAAACGCTCTAAAAGAGCACAGATCGTCATGATCTCAGCTCTCGGCCTCCGGCTGCACTCTCAGCCACGCCCACTTCTCCACCCTGCACAGAGATCAGATGATCAGCTGCAGGAGGAAGCTTCTCCCACAGCTGTGGGCTGCACACAAGTGCTAAATCATTTAAAAATCATTTATTTTAAATTTTAAAAATCCATGCCAATCGTGCGGCTCATCCATCAGTCAGCCAATTGTTTGTCATGTCCAATGTTACGTTGAAAAACCGCGATAGAGCAAGTCCGCGAAAACGGAACCGTGAAGTAGCGAGGGACTACTGTATTTTACAATTCAAACAGTACCAGCATACACACCTAGGCTTACCTTCTCTCTTGTCCTCCTGGATGGCTTTGGCTTTAGTGTCTGTAATGTCCTTAAACGAAGCCAGAAAGAGCACCACGTCACCCTTCTCATTCTTAATTGGCACGATGTCCAGAAGACACCAGAACAGTGCAGCTGAAAGCAAAGAAAACTCTTGTTAGCACTGTTAAACAGCATTTGTGACAAGGCTCTGAATGGATCTATGTGTATATGTGCAAAATTAGTGTGTCTGAGTGTGTGTACTGAGCAACAGTTCTGCAGATTCCTCAACTTACTAATGAGCCTATCAACAGTGGAAATCACTGGGGACAGGCAGAGACTTTAAATAGGCTGAGGCAGTGTTCCCCCATGCACGGCAAGAGATTAACTCATCTCGGAGGCCCTATTTCTTGGTAAATAGGTTGCTGTTGTGTGTTTTTGCAACATTCAAAAGACTTGTGCCAATTACTGTATTACTTAACAAGCTCATTTTTAAATACAAATCATAGAAATTTGTTTTTCCTTCATAACAACAAAGCTGGTGTAGAAAATGGAATTTACTAATTTACTCTGGTTGAGTTTTATGGAGCTTTTTAAAGCTTTTTACCTCATTATTTTGAGTTTATTCATTTAAATGCTTTAAGAGCTCTGGCGATGCTTCTGCTCAGCAGCACCAAGATGTTTTCGGAAAAGACCAACTCAATGCTTGACAATGACAACTAAACTGCACAAAAATAGGTATTGTTAATCAGTTTTTCTATCAAAGCCTTAAAAATGTGGATATCAATGTGATGCTATGTTAGTCATCTCTCAAATATGTCAATATTAATTCAAGTGGGCTAAATTGAATTGTATTTGTCTGCATACAAACTACCTCAATTAATTTAGAAAAACTGGTTAAGGGGTAAATTGTGGCTTAAAAAAAGGCTTAAGCAATATTTAGTGACATCTATATCACTCTATAGAAATACTGACATATACCGCATTTTCCAGACTATAAGCCGCTCTGGAGTATTGGTCACATCAGTCAAAAAATGCCCCATGAAGAGGAAAAACCAATATACAAGTCATTTCGGAGTGTAAGTCGCATTTATTTAGACGTGTATTTCACAAAGTGCAAGAACAGACATTTAATCTGAAACAACAATAATACACAGAACATACCATGGATCCTGAACACGTTTAATTAACATAACAAACCAACGAGTTCGACAAGCAAGTTACCAGTAATTTCACCATTCTCATTCCACATCACATTTGGGGGCATTTTACTTGTGTTAAGTTTTTCTCAGTTGTCTCTAAGTGAATGTTTGGGGGGGTTAGCGGTAGAGGAACAATTTTAGTTATCAAAAGCCTAGAGGGCCCTCTTGCGGCTGCAAATGGTAATGTTTTATCATTCATTCAACCTTTATTTATACAGGCTAATACCATTGAGCCCCGGGGACTCATTTACAAGAGAAACCTGATTTCTTTAACAAAAAGTATGTTAGTATGAATGAACATTTAGCGTGTCAGTCAAAAATTGCGTCATGAATAGGGAAAAAACGTATTTAAAAAAAGGGCTGGCCAAACTATGAAAAAAGTGTGACTTATAGTCAGGAAAATATGGTAACACTGAACTTGGAGGAGGGCGGAGTAATAATTTTTCTTTATAAAAGGAGTAATTTGACTTTTAAAATCACAAATACAGTATTCTCACAAGATTGCTCTACTTTTCCTCCTCCCTTATTGGGTAAGTGAATATGAATTGCTGATCAAAAGGGAATTCCCGTGGAGTTTCCTCTCATTACTCCCACTCTTTAAATCTTCCTCGCATGGCAATAATCACAGTGTTTTTGTCTGTGTTTATGTGTGTGTGGGAATATCTGCACGTCTGTGAGACAAGGCGGCACTATCAAGCACGCAGCGCGAGAAGGAGCTTTCCTGATTGCGAACACGCAGTGCTCTCTTTTCTCAGGCGACAGACGAAGAGCAGAGGGATTCAATCAGACCCGTTTACTTTCAGGTCTCTGCTGTGGCTGACGGTAAAAAAGAAGGATGAGGACACAAAGGGTATGGGAGAAAAGATGGAAATTAGAAGAGTGAGAGAGCAAAAAAACTGGCAGCAACAGATAAAAAGATGCTAAATCATGCTGAAGGAGAAAACTTAAAAATCATGGCTGAAAAGAGGAGAGAGGAAAATTTATTAAAATGAGAAATACATGGAAAAGGGATAAAAGACAACACGATGTTAAACAGAACTGAATGAGCAAAGGTGCTAGATAATTCACCAATAAAGCCCACTTTTCAGAAAACTTATATCAAAATTATTTTGCATTTAAAGTAAATAAATCATATAACATTAATAAACCTGGTGACCTGAAGATGATAAAAATAAAAGTTTTAGGCAAAAGAGAGAGACCTACTGAATTACAAAATAAGACTCATAATGTTTTTTGGTTTTCTTTTTGTCTCTTCCATTGTACTGAAATCTCATGTTTACTGAATCATCAGACTAAACCTCCTAAGTGGAAGATCCATCCATTCATTCATTTTCTTCCACTTATCCGGGGTTGGGTCACAGGGTAGCAGTCTAAGTAGGAAGGCCCAGAGTTCCCTCTCCCCAGCCACTTGGGCCAGCTCCTCCAAGGGAATCCCGAGGTGTTCCCAGGCCAGCCAAGAAACATAGTCCCTCCAGCGTGTCCTGGGTATTCCTCTGGGTCTCCTCTCGGTGGGTCGTGTCAGGAACACCTCACCAGGGAGGCGTCCAGGAGGCATCCTAACCAGAGCCACCTCAACTGGCTCCTCTCAACGTGGAGAAGCAGCGGCTCTACTCTGAGTCCCTCCCGGATGACTGAGCTTCTCACCCTATCTCTAACGGAGAGCCCAGACATCCTGCGAAGAAACTCATTTTGGCTGCTTGTTTCTGTGATCTTGTTCTTTTGGTCACAACCCAAAGCTCATGACCATAGATGAGGGTAGTAATGTAGATCGCCTGGTAGATTGAGAGCTTCGCTTTTTGAGTCAGCTCTCTCTTCACCACAACAGACCGGTACAGCACCCGCTTCACTGCAAACGCCGCACCTAACCGCCTATAATCTCTCGCTCCATTTTTCCCTCATTCATGAACAAGAGCCCAAGATACTTGGAACTCCTCCACTTGGGACAGGACCTCCTCCCCAATGCAGAGAGGGCACTCTACCCTTTTCCGGCTCAAGACTATGGTCTCGGATTTAGACGAACTGATTCTCATACCAGCCACGTCACACTCGGATGCAAACCATTCCAGCGAAAGCTGTAGATCACGACCTGATGAAGCCAATAGGACCACATCATCTGCAAAAAAGCAGACACGCAATCCTAAGGCCACCAAACTGGATCCCCTCACCATCTTGGCTGTGCCTAAAAAATCTGTCCATAAAAGTTATGAACAGAATCGGTGACAAAGAGCAAGCTTGGCGGAGTCCAACTCTCACCGGGAACGAGCCCAACTTACTGCCGGCAATGCGGACCAAGTTCTGACACCGGTCATACAGGGGCCTAACAGCCCAAACTAAGTGGAAGATGGGGCAGACAAATAGAGAAGATGATCAAAATGATCATTTCACTATATCCCCAGTGTAGGTCAGCAGTTTCTGATCAAGTCAAACAGTGTTGGGCATATCCTGCTTTTCCTTTCTCAGGTGCTGAATGGTTTGTCAGAATTTCTCTGAGGCCAAAAGGTTCATTTCCATGGCCATTGTAAATTTCTTCCACACTTGATGTTTAGTTTTCACTGGAGCATCGTTGGACCATGTTCAGCCTATTCAGCTGCTTTGGAAGCTCCAGAGCAGCTGAGCCCTAAAGGTCTCCACCTTCAACTTGACAACCTCCATCATCTCTAGTGTCAGTCAGCGAGTCCTATGGTTTCTGCCACAACAAGCACCAGCAACCTTCAGATCACAGCTCCTGGAAGCCACATCTGCAGTGAAGGGCCTGAACATGCCTCCAACCTTCCCAATAGGAATGCGCAATATAAACGGTATACGGTAGAAATGATAGAAATTTAGCCTACGATAGAGATCTGTCTTCTACCGGCTAACCGCAGTAACGCTGTGTCTGAAGTAAAATCAGAGTTGTCAGTTTAATCGTTAAATTTTGTTTTGTTGAAAACTGTGCGCAAGTGGCGTTAAAGTCTTTTCTTCGAGGGCTAAGTAGCTAAGTGTAGTGAGATAGGTCGGTTAGCTTCGTTTAGCTTCGGAGCTCCACTACACGTTATAATATCTGGACTAGTTCAAGTACCTGATATTATACTTAATTTAAACGGGTTCTCTCTTTTTCGAGCTACTTGACAGATATGTGACAGAGATACTGTGTGGGAGATGGTTTAATCAGTGACGTGAGACGTTAATTATCTTTGACCCATCAAAATGAATGCGGTCATTTATTAACAGAATCAAAGTTTAACATCAAACATTGTACACGTGATTATTCTGATTGTACGCGATAACACAGCTTAATTAATACAACAGACATTTATGAAAATATCTGGATGATTTACTGGCAAGATAGAAGAGTTTTAAAGATGGGAAATGAGGGAGTTTAAATGGAGAGAAAAGATGTGTCAGGGAAAATGTGTCGACGAAGAACGGCACCCTCCATCCGAACCCAGCTTAACCCACGGTACACTTAGCAGTTGAAGATCGACTTTTTACCTTTCTGAAGATATGTCAGTTCCGGCGTAAAGTTCCACTTCAAGCCACCTTTCAGCGTCTCCGTAAGGATAGCAGAGAACCGTCCGGAGTAGTGACGGTACTTCGTTCAACAGCAGCTCACCTCACGGGTGGACTCACATGATTTGTGAGTCCGTCAGAGGTTCCACTCAGATGTGGAAGATTCCATAATCCCCACGAGACTCGGAAGAACTTCGGATCTTGTCTGGAATTTCTTGTTCTCTCCAGCAACTTTTCTGTTCGGTTCTGCTCTCCGAACTGACCTGCTCCCGCTTGGAACTAGGAAGTGTCGACATTTAAAGAGTTCTGTTTCCGGTTCATTTGGGAAGTCCTGATTGGCTGAAAGAGCCAATCAGGGGTGTGGTTCTAGTGACGTAAGAGGTCACTAGAAGTCAGAAAAACAGAAAAATGTTTTGGAACAGACAGAAAAATGTTTTTGAAACAGACAGAGAAATGTTTAGGCGAGATGGGAGGAAACAGGTGCCAGCTTCTCTATTTACGTCTGAGAGGATTTAAAAACATGACAGTTCGTTCCAACAAACTTATTTGCGTTTGTCTCCGACTTTTGACCGACTTACAACCTGCTCATTTCAGACAGAAGATCAAGAAAATGAATAATTACTCTGTAACAGACATTAACTAGATTTCTACTTTGAATGAGGATTAAAAATCATTAATACTGTTTCACAGTTGATTTAAAATAAGTAGTTCACTTCAACATTTAAAAATGATTTGAACTAAACACACTTTTGATTATCAAGATATTGTAAAATAGTAATGATAATAAAAAAGAGAGTGTTCTTTCAATTGATCAGTGCAGGACACACTTAGAAAGTCTCTGGATGAACTTAATTTTGTGTTTCTGGACTCAAATCAATGAAATAACAGTTCTTCAATGAAATAACAGTTCTTGTCCCAGGAAGGCCCTCAGGGCCAGATTTTGACATGAGGCTTAGTTCACTACATAAGCTACAAGCTAACTACGTCCGGCTTGCCGTAGTGTTGCCGGATTCAGACGCAACGCTGTGTTCCGTCGAAAGTTTTTTTTTTCCGTTGAAAGTTAAAATAAGCGTTGGTCAGCTTTAGAGAAACCTGCTCTCTGATCTGTGACAAGAACGCTGTGTTGTGTGATTTTACTGCGAGACCCTGTGGTCAAAGCCACCGACTCATTTTGTGTCAGCTCTCCATTAAAGCAGAAGGAGATGCCCACTAGAGGGTTGGAGGGTGAAGTGTTTCAATGTAAAATGCTGCTCTGTTGCTGTTCATTTCTTAAGTAAGACTGGAAACTGTTGAGTTAACAACATATTCTTCTGTTTAAAACATATGGCTGAAACTAAATTGGGTATCTTTTGCACTGTTTTGCACTACAAGAAAGAAGCCTAATACTTGATTTGTTATTTAAAAACTCTCTGGACCTAGTAGTGGAATTTTCTTAATTCAAAATATATGATGGCAAAATGACACCCTATGCTTTTTTTAAGCAATTTTTATATCAAAAACATATTGTGATATATATCGTTATCGCCACCCTTCACAATACATATCGTGATATGAATTTTATTCCATATCGCACATTCCTACTGCCCAACGATGTGGGATGTGTTTTACTGGAAGTGTGAGCAGAAGATATCACTTAGAGAGGCATCTGCCAGACATTGTCACAACATCACCACCATTCATTTGGTTTATCAGGTCTGTATGGCAGTCTTCCCCACTACTGGAGCCATCTCACCACCAGACGGTGACCAGCAGACATATCTAAACCTCTTTTTACCTGAGTGTCAGTCATAAGGCTTGATCTTTAATCTCAAGTTGGCCTTACCAATTACAACTGAAACCACTCTCAGCTCAAACATAAACTTTGCTCTGAACAACCAGTGCTTTGCACAAAAGTCCAACAAGTGAATACCTCACCTACTGTATTTAGACCAAAAATGCCTTTGCTAAACTCCAGAAAAATCTGTTATTGCTCAAATGGGCAAAACAGGGAGCAAAGGAGTCCCTCAGAGGAACTGTTAGATGTGTACCCACAACAGTCCGAACCTTCCTGTCTGTAGCCTGAAGCTGCAGCGAGGAGACCCTTGTATTCACTAGTGAGAACACCAACACAGAAACACTCATCCATGAGCTTGTGAGTATTGTTACATCTGCTCAACATCTTCTCTAGGCAACTCTGGTGTAAGAGTGAGTCCAGCCAGTCTCCAGGAGCCACTTGGCCTCCAGAGTGAACACTGACTGTGAAGGTGAGTTCAGCTATATTTGGTTGGTATTGCTTAACCTTGTCCATTAGCTTCAGCTGCTTTATCACAACAAAAGTGATGTTTCATGTTCAAAAATCCAGTTTGTAACACCTGGAATTGGCATGGTCAGCCCATCAGCCTTGCTTCTCATCCAGCTTGCATCAGAACCATTGCTTGAATTTTCTCCCCACAAGTGGTGGCGTCTTGTGGTTTCTCTAGATAAGTTCAGCTGACTCCTGAAGCCAAAGCTCTGCCATTCAGCAGAGAGCCCCTCCTGGCCCTAGGGAGGTGTTCTCACTTTCCTGTACCAGTTTACTGCAATGTCACTTCATCAAGGTCTTTGAATTTGTATTTGACTGACTTTTCACTTGGGGTCATTTTGTCACCAGTTTTGGCCTCCCTGCACTAGCTCCTGGTTCACTTTTGAATTCAGGTCAAAATACTATTGTATGTTTTTAAATCACTGAACAGTTCTGCCCCCTCTTATCTCACTTATCTTCTGTAGCCATATATTCCACCGCGCTTTCAGAGGTCAGCAGATAAGATGCTTCTATTGGTTCCAGGAACTCGTCGTAAGCTCAGAGGTGACAGGGCCTTCTGTTGCTGGTCCAAGACAGTGGAATGAGTTACCACTGCTTGTCAGGCAGTCCCCTTCTCTCACTGTTTTTAAGACTTATTTAAAAACCCACTTTTATTCCCTGTCTTTCAACACTGTGTGATTTGTTCTTAACCTGTCTGTATTCTACAATGTAAGCCATTTAGTTATCTTCTTCCATTCATATCTATATTTTTATTTTACTTTATTTTATTTTCTGCTGTGTGCTTTGCTTGTTTGTTCTGCTGTACAGCACTTTGATTGGCCTTGTTGCTGTTTTAACTCCTCTATAAATAAAGTGGTGTGGTATAGTATGGTACAGTATGGTATGTTATGGTATGGTATGATATGAGACCCTACCAGGGGTCTCTTAGACCTTGCAATCTCCAGGATCATGAAAATACTCAAACTCCTCTTTCTGTTGTGTGCAATATATTCTGTGAAACGTTTTTATCTTATTATCAAATTTTTGTTTTTATGTTTTATCTTCTGTTTGCTATGTGAAATGGGATCTTTTCTAGTTTAATTGGATTATAGTGTTGTGATGAATGTGTTTTTACTCTTGTTTAGTTTGGATGTAATTGCAACTTGTTATTTTGGTGCGTGTTTTGCTGTCAGCATTAAGATGAATGTTTTGATTTTCTGGTGTGCTTTGTGATTTTCAATTTTTGCCCACTTCTCAGTGAAGCTGTACAATTTAAAATTAGTCTGACACTGTAGCCATTGGGACATTATTGGGACAGTTTCATTTCTCTCTGCTGACGAGCTCGGACCAAATAAAAAATAAAAAAGCTCATGCTCAATGGGAAATTTAATTACAAAATGTCAAGCTGAAAGAATGAAGATAGGAAAAGAGGCAATGCAAACAGATTACATACACAAATTTTCCCATCTAATTTTTTTAAGACGTAATTTTTTATTTTTTTTTGTAAATGAAAACTTAGAAGTCAAGCAAACTTAAAGTCCTTATGTTGAGGAAACTGTTCAAAAACTCACCAGTACAACCACAATTATTCCACCTTTTCCTCTTTTTTTATATTAGCACCAACTGTGACAAAACTAAATATATATATTTATTTATTTATATATATATATATATATATATATATATATATATATATATATATTATTTTTTTTTAATTATTATTTTTATTTTTTTAAGACAAATATGTCAGGACATTTACCACCCCATTATATCACAGCAGGTAACACATTCACTGACACCTTTATGTGCTCATTATTTTTTCTCCATTTTCTCACAATACCTCACCACAGCTAGCTGGGTTCAGTGTAACGCAGAGACAAGCTGAGCAGTCAATATCTGACAGCTATTAAAGTTTAATGTGGCTTAGAGCAGAATAAAAGTGTGCAAGATATTTCCCACTGATGGCTTTCTTTAATCACTGCTTAATGGGCATAGATCAATAACGGAAATGTTCAATCCATTTTTATTGTCATTATTTTATCTACCCATCAGTCCATGTGCCAATGTAAATGGAGCTTCTTCAGATATAGCCACAGAAAGACATTTATGACAATTTAAAAGACAAAGTCCCACATGATAATGACTCTGTCTGTAAATCCACTAAGAAATTATGAAGCTTGTCTCCTGGTTTCAGTGTCATACCCAGCAGAGGACTACGCAGGAGCTGTGGTGTTCAAAGCAGTTGACCAAACCAAAGCGTATGCATTTTTACCTGTTTTTGTGTAGAACATGATCTCGTCTTTAAACTCTTTGCGTTCCTCCAAGGCCTCGTCAATGCTCAGAATGATACTTTCACTGGTCTCATGCCCATACAGGAACTTACAGGCACAGCTCTTCTGCATGACCTCAGCCCGAGAGAAGCCTGTGAGTTCACAGAAGCCATCAGAGCAGTAGACAATTGGAAAGCCTTTGGACATCTGAGCATTGGCCAGGATGAAGTTGCTGTCTGCAAAAGAAAAGAGGCAAGATGACATGAAAGCATTTAGAGTTGTGGTAAATTTATAACAATGTTTCAGAAAAGGTTGGTAAATGTATATTGTATGTGATATATCATTTATCATTATCATATTAAATTTTATCACAATCAAACCATGTCATTGTATCATTATCTTATATCATGTTATTATCGTATCATGTATCGTATCAATGCATTGTTTATTGTATATGTGATGTATCATATATCATATATCATTATCATATTATGCTATCCAATGATCAAACCATGTCATTGTATCTTTATCTTATATCATGTAATTATCTTATAATGTATCATATCGTATTATCATTTATTGTATATGATGTTATGTATCATGTATCTTATATCATGTTGTGATTTGGTGCTATATAAATAAACTGAATTGAATTGAATTGAATATATCATTATTGTATCACATTAAATCATGATCAAACCATGCCATTGTATCATCCTCTTATATCATGTAATTATCGTATCATGTATCATATCATCTTTTTTTTTTTTTTTTGTATATAATATATCATACATAGTTTTGGAACACAACATGTATATTACTGTATCAGTGGTGGACCGTCAGGGCCAGCAAGGCGTTCTCTGCTGCCCCAAACACTATCAGAATCATTAACATATGTTAATATATGTTTATGTTAAGTAATGTATAAATTGTCTGTGCTCTTCATTCCATAGCTATTTTTCTGGTTGTGCAGATTCCAGCAACATGTGTTCGTATAGAGCTTTTATCCAGTCATATTTCAACCATCATGTGTTGCTAGGGTCAAAGAACTCTGCCTCGAGGCCTTCAGGATCAGCATTGAAGGCACACCTGGGCCTTCTGGCAGGCATTTCAAATCAGCATTTTCCTGATGTTTGATTGGATAATCAGAGAGTGTACTGCTCTGTAGCATCCTGCACAAGCTAAACTATATTTATATAGATTTAACATCTATCTTTTCAACCCACCATGGCTGCTTCTGTTGAGCGGACATTCTCAGCCCTGAAGCGTATTAAAATTAATGCCAGAAAAATGACCGGGCAGACTCGACTTTCAGATTCCATGGAGAAAAAAAAAGGACTTATTGTTGGAACTGAAATACACAAATAACTTGTCTGACTGAGTAATTGAACTATTCTTGAGGAAAGGATGGACTCTGTGTACAAAAATAAATAAATCAAGACTTTTGGTAAATAAAATGCATTAAAACTGCTTTTTTTAAAATGTTTGTGCTTTTATTATGTTAATATTGATGCTTTTGTAAAACACTAAATATAGCTGTATACAAAATAGCTAAATAAGTATGTGGCATAGCTGTGGCTGCAGTTGACGCAACTTGTTGAATTGTGTTAATTAGTTTTTTTGCTTCAATAATGGCATTCATTCTTGCTTGAAATACCTGTCTGTAATGCAGCACCCTTGTACACCACATTTCTGTATATTATTGCTGGTTTCTACAGCTGTGGTGTCATAATGACGGGAGAGGTGGATACATTCAGGCAGGAAGTCATTGAAGGCCTAGGTGTAAAATGCACAGCCCACCACTGTTAATTATGTTATCTTGTATTGTTAAAATATCTAAATAGGTAAAGCTAAGCTCAGTAATTATTATTTCCAGCACAGCTTGTTATATATTTTTAAAATGTCCTCATATTCCATGCATGGAAATAATAAAAAACATATATTATAGTGACATAGAGCCTGAAAAAGGATCGGTTTTAATTTAATTTAACATTTATTTCATTCATGAGTCCAGCATCAGTCTTAGAACAAACATACACATTCACAAAACAATTTTTTGTCAATATATCAATGCTAATATGACACATTTTATTTTATTATTTTTATTTTGATTATTATTTTCAGCATATGTACTAAAATTGATTAAATCTTGAGTTAAAAATTAGTCTTTCTTTATTGTAATGATACAGAAATAACACTAAAAAGTTGGCTCACTTTAAACCTAGAAAATATGAAGTTATCATACACTT